TTTCCAGGTATTGCCCATCTTCCTGGACAATTGTCATGCCTATTAACTATTCTTGTTTCATCAATTAGTCCCAGAAGTTCTCTCTTATTTTCTTTGTTGTACCCTCCAAGATAAATCATAGGAAAAACTTCTTTCATAAGCCGCCCCAAACGCGATTGTTTTATATATGTAGGTTTAATTATTAACAATGGAGGAGGAATTGAAGAAGATGTAATGCACAGAGTTAAGAGAGGGTTGGATAAAGTGGAGAGGTGCTATGCTAATCCTGCATGATAAGAAAATCCTATAATGTTAACGGACCAGTTTTATAAAATTGTCATTAGATGTGTTATTCTCTATGCTACTGCATTTTCTTTAAAAGACAAAATATCTCTAAGGTAAATGTAGAGGAAATGAGGTTACTAAGATAAGATGTGAGAATGTACGACAACTTGAAGTGGCATCCATTGAGGATAATTTAAGAGAGTGGTGATTTAGGTCGTTGGGACATGATTCGCATAGAATTAAAAACCTCATGTTCATAAGAATGATGCCATCTCAGTACAATATGCTAGTGGAGAAAGGGATAGACCAAAACTAAAACGACTTCTTGCGGTTGCTTAGGATCTAGTTTCTTTGGATCTATTGATAGAGCTATCAATGATCCACATAGAGCAATGAAAAGAATGCATGGAACCAACCAAAAATTTATTAAGATCAAGGTTGATCATTTTCATAATTTTAGTATTTCCTACATTTTAGAAAATAAAAGATCCGACACTTAGATACGTACCCGTACCCTAGTCCGAGTATCATAGGTTTAAGCACCGTTTCATGAATTGCTTTATTGTTATCGTTTCAATACAAAAGTAATATTTAATATCTTGCTACAGATTTTAAGGGTCTTGATCACAATCCTGGACACATCTACTGATCCTCGAACACTAGCCGTTGCTTGCTTTGATCTCTCACAGTTCATTCAGTACCATCCTGCTGGGCGCATCATAGTGACTGACCTCAAAGCAAAAGAACGGGTGATGAAACTGATGAACCATGAAAACCCGGAGGTCACCAAAAATGCCTTGCTTTGCATCCAAAGGCTTTTCCTAGGTGCCAAATATGCAAGCTTTTTACAAGCTTAAGGTTCGACCAGGTTTAAAATTATAATAATTTTAGGATGAAAATTGAAGAATTTGTATGCGGGAGTCATGTACTTCTGTTTGTCTGAGTAATTAATGCACCGTATTTTTTTTTATTTTTTGCTATCAGATATTTGTTATGAGCAACTTGTGGGGGGTTAATTATTATGTTATATGCTGTCAAATAAAGTTATATTTATGTATTTTTTCTTTTCCGATGCTGTTGGAAAATAAAAAAGAGAATACAGTTTGATTACTTTACTGCGTTATGTATTTTGTTTGTATTTAAAGAATGTTCGTTTTGGTTAATGGTTTGACTTAACGGTCATATTTTCAATTTCAAATATGAACGTTGCTCTTCATATCTTTCATATATGTGTATGCCCTTCATCGGCACCACATTCCATAAAGCAAATCAGCCTTTGAATTCTGCATTTTTCCCCCATTTCTCATCAGCAAACCCTAATTTCCCAGATTCTCTTAGAAAGTTGCAAGAAATGGGAGGATTATACATAGAAAATTCTTATGAATCTCATCCTCGCGCTCACAAAGTGTTCCTCTTATGCAATTACATACTCTTAGGTGCAGCCTCTAGTTGCATTTTCTTGACCCTTTCCCTTCGACTAATCCCTTTGCTCTGTGGCTTCTTCTTGATCCTCCTCCACATCACCACCATCACTGGTGCCATTGCTGGCTGCGCTGCTGCATCGTATTAGAAGCAATACCATTTGTATGGTTAGAACACGGTTGGTATGTTAGTGTGCCAGCTGGATGTTAGTTGTATTGTTAGTTACTTTTGGCGCCTATTTATATTGTATAAACTCAGTCATTCCATGTGAATTCAGATAAATAATATTTCAGCATTTCATAGTTCATATTGGCTCTAATATGGTATCAGAGCATATACCTTTCAGCTTTCATCTTCTTCTTCGTCATTTGTAAAATTCACATCTGCGATTTTGTTAGAATGGAATCATCATCATCTGAAGCTAACTCCGATGTGCATTCATCCATGAGCAAGTCCACCATTGATGAACCATCAAGTCCGTATTTCCTTCATCATTCAGATAGTCCTGGATTGGTGCTTGTTTCTCAAGTATTAATAGGTGAAAATTAACCCTCATGGAGCTGTGCAATGATCATTGCACTTTCAGTGAAAAATAAACCATCTTTCATTGATGGATCTATCAAGAAACCAGAAGCTGCAAGTCCTGATTTGATCAATTCATGAATTCAAAACAATAATATGGTCATATCATGGATACTCAATTCGGTTTCGAAGGAAATTTCAGCTAGCATCATCTATGCGTCTACAGCTCACGAGATCTAGCATGATCTCAAAGAAAGATTTCAACAAAGCAATGGACCTCGGATTTTCCAATTGAGGAAAGATCTGATGAGTCTAACTCAAGATCAAAGCAACATAAGTGTGTATTTTACAAAATTGAAGACTGTGTGGGAAGAGTTAAGTAACTTTCGACCAAATTGCAACTGTGAAAAGTGTACATGCGGTGGAATTAAGGAGGTAAACAAATACTATTAGATGGAATACATCATGTCATTCCTTATGGGGTTGAATGAGTCGCTCTCCCAAGCTAGAGGCCAGATCCTACTTATGGATCCCATACCACCAATTAATAATGTTTTTGCACTAATGGTGCAAGAAGAGAATCAAAGGAAATTGAGCGCACAATCGGTGGGAAATGATGCAAATGATGCTGCTACATTTGCAGTAAAATCTGACAATATGAAGCCAATGATGAACTCTGGTTCTCGTTATGATGGAAATAGGATCAATAATTTTAAAAGGAAGGAAATGCCCTACTGTACTCATTGTAAGTACCATGGACATTCATTTGATAAATGTAACAAGATCCATGGGTATCCACCAGGATTCAAGTCAAAATCAAGGGATAACTTCCAAAACTATTCTGCAACTAATCCTGATAATCAGCTGTCAACCGTTCACCAAATGGATCAGCAACCTAGCATGGAGAATTTTATGCAAAACCTCAATTCCAGTCAATATCAACAACTGATGAATGTGCTGTCAAGTCACTTAGCTTCAAGTTCAAACGCTGCTTCCATTAATCAAGACAAACAGAACAATTCGGGAGCTACAGGTATTTTTGTCACTCTATATCTGATAATCTTGTCTTTGCTAATAAAGAGACATGGATGGTGGGCTCAGGAGCCACTAAACATGTATGCTGTGCTGGTGATGCCTTTATGACATTAGGAAAGGTTGATAATGCAAGTATCACTCTGCCAAATCACACACAAATAACAGTCAACTTATGTGGAGATGTCCGACTAAGCCCTAAACTGGTGCTGCATGATGTTCTATTCGTGCTACAGTTCAAACTGAATTTGTTATCCGTCAGTGCATTGACTATTGGTTCACACCTCACATTAAATTTTTCTCATGATCAATTTCTCATTCAGGAGACTACAACCAAGAGGATGATTGGCAAGGGTGATAAAGTGCACGGGTTGTATGTACTTCATACAAGTGATCTTGATTCATTTTTGAATAACTTTGTTGGTAATGTTTTTGCCCATATATGGCATAACATACTTGGATATCTGTCTTTTAAACGTTTAGATGTATTAAAAGATCAAGTAGCTTGTGATGTTTTGAAGTTGAATAGGTAGCTTCCTTGTTATATTTGTCCTATTGCTAAACAGCGAAGACTATCATTTGAGTCAAGTAATAAATTGTCCAGCAAGCCGTTTGATCTATTGCATTGTGATGTATGGGGACCATATCACATTCCTTCACACTCCGGACACAAATATTTTTTAACCTTAGTTGATGATTGCTCCAGATTTACTTGGATATATACGTTGCGTAAAAAATCTGATGGTGCAAAGGCTGTGCATCGTTTCTTCAGTTTGATTGCCACACAATTTGGTGCACAGATTAAAAGTTTCAGGTCAGATAATGCACATGAATTGTCTTTCAAAGAGTTCTTTGCTGAAAAATGAGTATTGCACCAATTTAGTTGCGTTGAAAGACCTCAACAAAACTCAGTTGTGGAACGAAAACGTCAGCACCTTCTAAATGTTGCCCGAGCCTTGTTCTTCCAGTCTAGAATCCCTATTAATTCCTGGTCTGAATGTGTATTAACAGCAGCTTATCTCATCAACAGAACCCCTTCCCCTATCTTACCCCATAAAACCCCTCATGAGATCTTATATGGCAAACCTGCTGATTATTCCAACCTTCAAGTCTTTGGATGTTTAGGTTTTGCATCCACACTCACAGCACATAGAAATAAATTCCAACCAAGAGCCAAGTTATGTGTGTTCTTAGGGTACCCTTTACGAGTAAAGGGATACAAACTACTCGATGTCGCATTAAAACAATTTTTTTTTATCCAGAGATGTTGTTTTTCATTAGGAAATATTTCCTTATCATACCATTGTAGAGTCTGATCAAGTACTAGATCCTTTTTCTGATCCAGTTTTGCCATCTCCTACATTGTCTCCTCATCTTGATTTACCCGTCCAACCAAACCAGATTCAATCTATTCCTAATACACAGCCTGCTGATCCTAATTGAGCTCCTTCTACTGGGATAAATCATCCTATACAGCTTTATAGTTTTGATTCCACTGACCAACCAAATTTCATTGAACCATCTGGTCATGATATTCGAAGATCTAGAAGATCCACCAGACCTCCAAATTACGTTCATGACTATGTAATCTGATCTCCCAATTTCATCACCATACTCCACCTTCCCCACACCACATTAGTCATTTCATTTCCTATCAAAAGCTGTCTAAGCATCACAGACACTTCGCCTTATCCATTTTATCACAGTTTGAGCCTTAATTCTTCCATCAGGCTGTCAAATTACCTCATTGGCGAGAAGCAATGAAGCTTGAATTGGATGCCATGGAAAACAACCACACTTGGTCTGTTGTGCCTCTACCTTCAGGGAAGCATTCCGTCGGCTGCAGATGGATCTTTAAGAACAAATACAAATCAGATGGTTCACTCGAAAGGCACAAGGCACGTCTTGTTGCAAAAGGTTACACTCAACAAGAAGGGTTGGACTACTTTGACACCTTCTCTCCAGTAGCTAAAAATGTTACTGTTAAAGTTTTACTCACTCTTGCAGCTTAATTCAACTGGCACCTAGTCCGGTTAGATGTAAATAATGCTTTTTTAAATGGTGATATATTTGAGGAAGTATACATGGATCTGCCACTTGGGTATGACTTACTTAGGCCATCCAAACAGGGGGGAAAACTCGTTTGCAAACTACATAAGTCCATCTATGGACTTAAACAAGCCTCTAGGCAATGGAATTCAACGTTTACTCATGCTCTCCTATAACATGGTTTCACCCAATCTAAGGCAGACTACTCCTTATTCACTAAAGGCTCTGAGGATAACTTTGTCGCCTTGTTGGTTTATGTGGATGACATTGTCATCATTGGACCAAATGTTCAGGTTATCAACTCCTTAAAGACATTCTTGCACTCTCAATTCAAGCTCAAAGATCTGGGTTGCTTGAAATACTTCTTGGGGATAGAAATTGCTCGGTTCTCATCAGGAATTGTTATATCACAAAGACAATATAGATTGCAGTTACTTGAAGATGCCGGTTACCTAGACTGCAAACCAATTAACAGTCCTATGGAACCAAGGTCAGCTCTCAACATACATGAGGGAGATTTAATTCCAGATGCCTCTCATTACCGACGACTAATTGGGAAATTGATATACTTGACCCTATCACGACCTGACATCACTTTTGTGGTACATAAATTGAGTCAATACATGTCTCAACCAAGGATGCCACACCTAAAGGTAGTTCACAACCTACTGCGATACTTGAAGGGCAATCCTGGACAGGGTTTTTTCTTTTCATCACAGTTGCATTCTAATCCAATTGTTCCAGTTCGGGCCTTTTCAGATGCTGATTGGGGATCGTGCATTGATACAAGAAAGTCTACCACCGATTTTTGCATATTTGTTGGCAACTCTATGGTCTCTTGGAAATCAAAGAAACAGCCAACCATCTCTCGATCATCTGCTGAAGCGGAATATAAGGCACTTGCCTCCACTGCCAGTGAGATCCTTTGGATCAACCAATTATTAAAAGACTTTCAACTTAATGTTTCATCTCTCGCCATACTATATTGTGACAACCATGCTGTCATTCAGATTGCCACTAACTCGATTTTTCACGAGAGAACGAAGCACATTGAAATCGATTGTCACTTCATTCGTGACAAGATCAATGCTAGGATCATTAAACTTCTACCGGTCCGTTCAAAACACCAGCTTACAGACGTCTTCACGAAGCCACTGCCTCCATCTAGCCTTACTCCTTTGCTGTCCAAGATGTGTGTAAAAGATATTTATAGCACCTCTTGAGGGGGAGTATTAGAAGCAATACCATTTGTATAGTTAGAACACGGTTAGCATGTTAGTGTGCTAGCTAGATGTTAGTTGTGCTAGCTGGATGTTAGTTGTATTGTTAGTTACTTTTGGCGCCTATTTATATTGTATAAACTCAGTCATTCCATGTGAATTCAGATAAATAATATTTCAGCATTTCATAGTTCATATTGGCTCTAATACATCAGCTGCCCGAGGTGCTGGGAAGTGGTATGGGGCCCACATGGTGGCGACAATGCTGACAGCAATATTTCAAGGGTCTGTTTCAGTGCTTATTTACACAAGGCCTGAAGATTTTCTTGGAAATCTGAAATCCTATGTGAGGGAAGAAGATGGGGTGACAATATTGAAATTGGCTGGTGGGTTGTGTGTATTGATTTTCTGCCTAGAATGGGTTGTTCTTACACTTGCATTCTTCTTGAATTACTATGCTTATGTACAAAAAGATGGGGTAAATTCTCATGCAATGAAGAATTCTAAGGTTCAAGATGAGGACGACTTGAAGAATTGGCCATGGCCTTTCCAAGTTTGATATTGTGTAGATAATAGGGGATTATCCACTTGACACATAATTGTTTGATTCGTTCATTTGTTGGTTGGTTGTCGACTCTGGGGATCTTGTATTAGTTTTCCTATTAAGTGATAAAGGTGTTGATTAACTATTCCAATGATCTCAATTCCATCATATTTATTATCATATACTTTGTATTTATCTAATTCATCCTACTGAACAAAAACTGTTTCTCATTCGTTTATGCATATAAGTGGACATGAGACCCCATTCCCTTTGTTAAAAAATAAGAAAAAAAGAACTCGTTGAATTTTTATTGTTGAAATTGCAAAAATCCAAACCTCGTAAGTTGCAAAACACATGAATTTATTTTTTTCGGTTGAAGCAATTCACACACGGTTGACCTTTTAAGGCTATGTATTCTTCTTCCTCATTAAATGCAATGGCTGGTTTCTGTTCTTTAATAATATGCTAGTTTACTAATTGTTTGCTGGTTTTAAAATTCCAAGTTTTTTTGAGGCCAAGTTTTGATTTTATAACATATGTTAAAAAAAAGGTTGAACCCAAAACTTGAGGGCCCGCCCCGCCCTGGAGTGTCGTGGAGGAGGTAAATCTCAGGATGTGTCGCAGCAAGTCAGGGAATAAGAACTTGTCCGTACACTAGTGCTCACAAAGAGTCCAATTTCATATCTCAAGAATCGAACCCTTACCATGCGGCTGCCAGTAAGGCTGAGATTACCTCACTCCTGTCCTTTGCACCATTGGGTTATGCCCTGGGGGGTTGATTTTATAACATATGTTGCCTGTATATTTTGTGGTTTTTGAGCGAATATTTAAATGTAAAAAATAAAATTCCATATATCACTACTATATAAAAAGGGCAATGTTTCATTACTGTAGAAAGAACAGTAGATTATTCCATTTAGTCTCACTGTAACTTTTTTTTTTATTGAGAGAAAGAAACGACGTCGTTTATCTTCGTGTTTGATACAGGGACTTTGTTGCTTTTCCTCAATTTACGCGGCGTGGAGGATTATGTTATAAAGTCATCTTTACTCTTTCTCCATTTTTACACGCTACAGTCATACCTCTCTATTTCTCCACACTATCTCTTTCACCATTTTCTCACGCTATCAACCATGTATCTTTAGAAAGTTTATTTCTGAGCACATAAGTAAGTTTAAATAAAAAAATTATTTTTATATATGTATGTAAAAGGTATATAGTAACCATTTGGTTTATCAAAAAATAATATCAATTAAAATGTTTACGAATCGTTTAAATAATAATTTATTGAGGAGGTTAATTCAAGAGCAAAAGTTTGAATTTCGTAAATATATGATAGAAAATATGTTTGAAGAAAAATAAAATTTAAAAACTGAAAACCAAACATGTTAACAAATGAATATATTTATTTTTCGAGAAATGAATTTATATATATATATATATATATATAGATATATAGTAACCATTTGGTTGACCAAAAAATAATATCAATTAAAATGTTTACGAACCGTTTAAATAATAATTTATTGAGGGGGTTAATTTAAGAGCAAAAGTGTGATTTCTATAAATATATGATTGAAAATATATTTGAAGAAAAATAAAATTTAAAAAATGAAGATAAAAAATGTTAACAAATGAATATATTTATTTTTCGAGAAATGAGTTTTTATAAAAAAATCATAAAAACATATTATTTTATAAAAATTATATTTGATAGATTATATAATTTTGAAGCACAATCTAACATATTAAGATTAGAATCATTTCATGATATAAATAAAATGAGAATAAAAACTCATTTCTCGAAAAATAAATATATTCATTTGTTAACATGTTTGATCTTCATTTTTTAAATTTTATTTTTCTTCAAATATATTTTCAATCATATATTTATAGAATTCACACTTTTGCTCTTAAATTAACCCCCTCAATAAATTATTATTTAAACTGTTCGTAAACATTTTAATTGATATTATTTTTTGGTCAACCAAATGGTTACTATATACCTTTTACGTACATATATAAAAATAATATTTTTATTTAAACTTACTTATGTGCTCAGAAATAAATTTTCTAAAGATACATGGTTGATAACGTGAGAAAATTGCGAAAAAGATAGTGTGGAGAAATAGAGAAGTGTGGTTGTAGGGTGTAAAAATGGAGAAAGAGTAAGCCTCCATTATTTTATGTATTTTTATTTTAAGAATATTAAAAAAATTAATTTGATTAAATTAAATTAAATTATTGTATTGAGAGTTAATGAAGGAAAAAGAAAGTAAAAAAATGCACGTTGGAGCCTCCGTAATTAAGGAGTCTCATGCTTGAGCTATTTCCATGAAGCCTCTGTATTATGGAGGTTAGGCATCCATAAAGCCTCCGTAATACGGATATGGAGGCTTTCCTCCATAATATATATATATATATATATATATATATATATATTAAAATTATTATTATTTTTTTAATGTTGTTAGCATGATGCATATATGGAAGAATATTTGTCAATCATCATAAACAAAATTTTTCACAGAATGCAAAAAATAAAAATGAATAATAAATATTCTTATTACGCTAATAAAATTACAATAATTTTTTTTTTACAAATAACATAAAAAAATTATTTTTATTTTCAACAAAAAAACACATTTAAAAATTAGTAATTTCATAACCAATTTTTTTTTTTAAATTTTCAGAAATACAATTATAAAAAAAGAAACAATATTGAATTACAACATTTAATCCTTAAGAAATTCAATATTAAATAAATTTTATACATTTATAATAAATTATAAATTCATATATGCAGCTTATCATATTTGCAGACAGTTTACCGTATTTGCAAACAACTTACTGTATTTGCACCTTACCGTATATGTTGCCTACTGTATTTGCAACTTACCTTATTTGCAAACAACTTACCGTATTTTCACCTTACCATATATCCTGCCTACCGTATTTGCAATTTATCGTATATGCTATATACCGTATTTGCAACTTGCTGTATTTTTATATACCGATTTTTGCACTTACAAATACCGAGAATGCAGAACACCGTACATTTACTTACCAAATCGAATTTCAAAAAAAATTCTAGATTTTTATTTTTTCAATATAAGTATAAAATAAAATTAAATATATATGAAGCACAAAATATAAATACATATAAATATAGTGCCGAGAGAAATCAGTATCGTAGTTTTACGTTAAAAAAATATTTTTTTTCAATTTAAAATTCTTTTTAATTCTTTTCTCTTCAAATTTTTTACTTACAAGTAACTTTTTGTAAAATATTTTCTGTCTTATACTATCTTTATTTTTTAATTTTTTGGGAGGTATGGAAATTGCGTGTTGCATTGTTTTCTTACAGTATAAATATTTTTTTATTAAAATTGAAAAAATTAAGTTTTTTTCATAAAGAAAAAAGAATTAAAAAGTATTTTAAATCGAACAAAATATTTATAATATGAATAAAATAAATAAAAAATAAATAAAAGAGAAAAAAATAAAAAAACGAAAAAGAAATCTCCATGCATCCTGCGCTAATGTAATGAACCAAACGATTAGATTTCACCAAATACTTCGAATCTTCAATCAATTTTGAAAAATCTACATTTTGGACGCTAATAAAAATACAATAAATACAAAACTCGTGCAACGCACATGTCAAAGGCTAGTTATTAGTTAAAAATTAATATCAGGGAATTGCCATCATATTATTCAGTAATAAAATTCATTTACGAACTGCATTGTCTGGCCCACAGGGAAAAATGTAAAATGTACGTGTTATTGCTAATAGATTTCTTCTACAAGAATTTTTCTATTTTTTAACTAGGGATCACCGTATTTTCCTATTTTCTCACTAAGGATCACAGTATTCAAGTGGGTTATAAAATGGTGAATATTGGTCTAATGTTGTGCAATATTTGTGATTGAATGTTGTGCAACATTTGTGTTTATAAATTTCCATTTTCAAATAGACTTGCCACTTTTTGATCAACTTCTATATATTTGAACTAAATGAAAGTGATAATACTAAAGTTTTGTAATTGTACCAAAAAAATAAAATAAAATTCAATTCGAACCCCATTTTTCCATCACCTTTCATCCTTTTATACAGGCTAATTGGCTCAAGCTTGCTATCCTGGTCATGTCAAGCTATAGCGTTCGGGCCTAGGACCGTGTCACCAACCATGTGAGAAATGTGATGGGTCTCAAAGTTCGGATGCACGATCATGATAGCATCTATGCCTTAAGTACGAGTCTTAAGCCATCATATCATTTTACTGATTGGTTGTTCTGGAAGGTACTGTCATCAAAGGGAAGTACTTCCTCTGTTATGTCATAATAATACTTTCATAGGATTTCTTTCATAGTCTGATTGTGACTTTCATGGGTAGAATATTGAACCAAGGTACTAAGCTTAACTATCTAGAACCTTCAAAGATAGGCTCTTTTGACAAGTCAATGGGAGTCCCTCGTTTATCCTATGTGGATATTATATGTTCCACAAAACACATAGTTTCTTTTCTAGGATGTAGGAACTAGGATACACAAACAACACAGAATGTTCGCAAGACTAAAGACCAAAAATGTAGATCTGAACGAAAAATAAAGAACACAATAGATTTTTCGGCCGAAGCCCCGAGGTTCAGCGATCAGTATGATCGCCTAATCCCCGTTGAGCATCCATGGGGGAATAAGCTCGAATCCACTAAATCAACCGGCCAAAACCAACAAAGTATCGATTACACGGAACACACAGTTCCAGATCGCACACAGCACAACAGCCTCTTACACAGTAAGAACTCACACAAGAGTTCACAAAATCAAGTTTCTCACTACCAAGATCACTCAAGATCAGAACGAAAGAATCACAAAATACACAGAGAGTAAACTCAAGGATATGCTGCGTGAAAATGAATGAGAGGCCAAACCCTAGAGTCTTCTCGACTCCTTTTAAAAGAAAGCAGCTCAATCACCTCAATCCAACGGCTCAACAGTCAACACTTGTCAAA